AAGGAGAAGGGCAGAGATTCTTTAAGTAACTTTTCAACTGCCTCATCATGAGATTCACTCTCAACCAAGGATTCTCCCCGAAAGTCTTTCGTCAACCCTTCACTAACTAGTTTCGGTTAAGACCGGAAAGACGATACTTTAGGCCGAAGAACAACATGCTTAAGGTTCCCTTTCCTGAAGCTCATGAATTAAACACTCACGAAATTTCACGATACTGCATAATGAACAAGCAACCTAACTACCCCTTTGGGATTTACCAGGGGTGACATGAGTCATGTGGCGCGACCTTGCGGTGTTTTAATATCAGGTTCGTACACATGAAATGATGTTTCCCAGTAGTTTCTCCGAAATGTAATATTGGATGCTTCGTATTAAATAGAATTTACTCTGTTCCGAGGATTTCTTCTTCTCAGAATGTTGTTCTTCGAAATAATACCGACAAAAATTATAATAATGCAAGTAATCGATTCCCTATAAGAATCACAGCTTATCGATGCTCGCCCAAAATGGATTCCATTAATTTCTTTTCCACCTACCCCCAGATAGCTATCATCATTTTTCTAAACTTCTACAATTCATACATTTTTCTTTCACTTCGAACTCAACACCATTCGATCCTTCCATGCATCCCTAATTCTATTCACTCCAAACATAATTATTCTTAATAAACATTCCCCCTAAGTAACCATACACGTACACGAGTACATATACTTAATATCCAGGAAGATTAAATAGTATGCGTCCCATGAATTAAGTACCTGGTTTTCATAATACCAGACGACTAACAAACCTTAATATTCAAAATTTCATTCTCAATGTTCACACAAAATTTTCGCCCCGGGTATACAATAAATAGACATGGACAAAATACCTCCAAATCCACGAAGGAAGTAGCTCGTTCCCATAATATCAAAACCCTGGGCACCCGGCAAAAATGGAACCCGGGGCAAAAATCCTGACGCAGTCTCTCCTTGAGGAAATATTTTGAAAAGGCGAGCAACGATGCGCGGGCTCACGGTAATTAAGCATCTTGCCGGTGCAGAGGCTCCGCAAACCGGCAGTAAAAACTAAATAAATAGAGAATGTCCGGCGTAGAGCCTGGCCGCGGCGAAACACGCCCGGTTGGATCAGGCCGAGGAAGAGGGAGAGAGAGTCTGCACGCGGCAGAGCTTGCGCAAACACAAAAGCTCACGTCTGAAGACAAACAGCAGTGACTGTAAGCTGCAACGTGGCCTGGGGCGCTGCGGCCCGTGTGCTATGAGAGAAAGGAAGGAAGGAAGGAAAAGACGAGCCGTGGGACGGCAAGGGGGCAAACACATCGGACAAAGACGATGAAACTCCGCTGGTACGAGGTGAAAAGGTAAGACAGAGCCAAGTGAGACGTTGGCGCCTATACCCGACGGCCGAACGTTCTTCTTTCGGAGACGACCTCGTGCTTCAGTGAACGCGATAGCGTCTTGGAGATCTTGATACTCCTAGAAATGAACGAGCAAAGGAACATGGACAGAGAATTTCGAAGATGCTCGCTGTTTTTTCAGAAATAGGATTCGTTACTTAAAAATGCTCGTTGTCTCGCAACGTATATATTAGATTGTCCGGATGTGTCTTTCTTTTACAGACACGTCTTTTATAACGATGCATCTTTAAACAAATATGAAACCTAATCTGTCGAACGTTGTGATCTTTATTTTGAGAGAACAAAATGGATCGTACGTAATTGGATACAATAATATAAAACGGAAAATGTTGTGCATCCATTATTTCCTTATAAAACGAAAGAAACTTTTCAGACGACCTAATATTAGAGGAAATCGGTGAAAATTTAAATAAGTGCGTTTTAAGGCTCTAAGATTACGTATCATTTTCTGTATATATGTATCATTTTTGGAAAAAGATCCCCTGGACTGTACCTCTGGCGAGCCTCTCAATTTAACCGAATAAATTCTCCTTTGCAAATTATGGTCCTATAATTATTCGCTAGATGCACAATTGACTTTATACACCACGCGAAATCGTAGATAATGTGGCCATAACGCTACAGAAGAATCAGTCGAAAGCATAATTACGCGAGAGCAATGGGAAGGCGATATTCATACGCTACATTCCAAGTGTGCAACTCTCACGTTTGTATATACGAGGTGGAAAACAAACACTCGACGCGGAAACATATGCTTATTCGGGTGGCAACAGACGCAGATTGCACGAGCGATGAGCGTGGTAAGGTTCTCGAGTTGGTTCGCGAGCATTGTCCTATTAGAATCGACCCTCTTCGGGGAGTTTCGAGTGCGTTCCGCAACAAAATGTCGCAGCCGTGTAAACGCGCTCTAACAGCCGAAAGCCTGTGTCGCTTTCGAAGATACTCCAGCCGTGTACACGCGGTGTATTAAAGCCGTGTACCATGCGTATATACGTACTGTATTTTCGGCTAGGATCCTCCATTTCAAGGCGTCTGTACGCGGAAACGCATTCCACGATGCAAGAAACCAAGCGGATCTTGGAATCCTTTCAGGCGTAGAGGATGCTAGTTCATGAATACCGTTGTGCACAGGCTTCACAGCAGGTATTCGAAACGTCTAACGTGGTGCAATTGGAGATTTGATAAATCGACGATAAACGAAAATTAGAATTATTTTGTATTTCCGTAATATCTCATCCGAATTTCACTCTAGAGAATTAATTTGTGAAACTGCGATAATATTACAATGATTTATTATTAATCTAAGCAACGCGCAACAGATAGAAATTAGTGATTAATGGAATTAGAAAGTCGATATTTAGTTAGAAATTGTCGAAGAAATAATTTACAGATATTTTTGAATGATTTTTACGAATTTCGTGGATTCAGCAATATGCGTATGTAGATGTAACAAGCTGAGGATCATAATGATGTAATTTATCTACGACATCTCCTAAAATAGCGTTTCACGTTTACCATTGTAAAAAATTCGGTATAATTTCCGAAGTTATAAAAACATATCTGGGACAGTGAACAAAATAACAACTTGGTTAACTATGAAAGTAAACGGATGGTACTTTTAAAAGTTGAAAAGCATTGTTAAGACGCAGGCCATTATGAAAGCCGGAAGATCAGCATATTCGGGCGCCAGACGCGTTTTATGGCACCCAAGTGTCGAGCAGCCGTGTGTAACAAATTTTCTTCCTCGAACTCGGAAAAAGTCAGAATTACTCGAAAAATAAAACAATCTTAACTTCTTCGAATAGTTCTCAGTGATAGCGACATATGTATTATTATTATATTAAGTCATCATTAACGCATCATTAATCCATTGCTATTAAAGCTAAAACAAAATTCCAGGAATATCTATTAATTGCGCGTTGATGTGTAAGTCGACTTGCATCGAATCACGAGATTTTTCACGGTTAGCGTAACCTAAGCGCTTTGATCGTTCAACGTTGATAGCTGCGATGGCGACGATATCAGCGATATTCGATTTTCCCACGGAGCGGCCGCTAGGTTTCCGGCCGGCTCTAAAAAAACACATGCCACATGCTGGAGCGCGATTTTTGTTCAACGTGAAAAGCGAACAGGTGGCCCATGTCTAGAAAGCTAATCGAAACGCTCGTTTTCGAAATACGAGCAAAAAACATCATTTGCTATTTTCTTGTACATATGTGTATAGAGTGTCCCTTTATAATTGTCTCACGACACTACTTTTTGAATTAAGTATATATGCGTTGGATAAAAAAATGTTTCGAGTAAAAGTTTGTGTCGGTTACGTCACTGGCAGTATACTGTTACGTACTTGGACATGCACTACGTAGAAATATACGGACTTTTAACTATTTGCCAAATGGGAATAAACAAAATACCGATTTTTGTTGAATATATATCAGTTCAGTATTTGATTAAGACATGACACATGTACCGAAAGTTCAAAACGAGAAGATTTCCTTACCGCGTGTGACTAACCCTCAAATCAATCGAGATTATCCTAATTATAATTATAATTTCAAGGAAAAGCTCCCGCTGCTGGTTGTAATGGATTTACGTGACACTGTATGGTGGTGGATGTCACTGGTCACTTTTCACATGACACGTAATCCGGATCGAAGGATCAAAATGCTCAACCGTTCGTGTCGCGAGATAGCACGTCAACGAGAGTCGTAAATTCCCGTTACGATTATATAATCGACACCACGAACTGATCGATCCCCTGATTTCTGTTACGATAATAGGGGTGGTTCAACTGAGGTTATACTGAATTAACAGGTATAAATTAACGTTTATTCCAGCAACTTTGTAAAGAAGGTAATTACACTGATGCGTATGTACAAGCTAAGTAAGTGATTGGTTTAAAGATAAAAACCCGATGATGACACGTTGACTATTCTAACGATGAAGAATAAGTGAAGTAAAGCGAGAATACTGTGTCGAAGGAAAGCTAGTCATGGGTGGGTCTAATCTACAAGAAAGAGCTGATTTGTCAAGGGCAAGGTTTCATTGAGAGAGTGAGGGAAAGACTTCGCTGTTAATTGGTTAATTTTCTAGGTTGGTTGGTGAAGAAGGGTGCTAACCGCCCCCGAGAGAGAGAGTTGCTAGTGGGAAGCATCATACGTGAGAAAACTAACTTTCCCGTAGTAACAATAAGCTTTAGAAACGATTCAGTAAAGAGATGTTTGTTCGGTCTGAAGGACCTTAGCTAGTAAATTCCTGAGATTTATGATGGGTCCTTAAGACTATTGAGGGTACGCAGTAAGGATGAGCGGACATCTGGTTCCCATCTTGCCCGATGAGCGGACATCTGGTTCCGCAGTAAGGATGAGCGGACATCTGGTTCCCATCTTGCCCGCGGTGTGTGGCCTGGTCTAGGTAGAGTGTCGCCCGACGTAACACAATTCTTTGAAATTATTGATCTTTTTTCTTCTTCGACGCTTATATATTCCATATATATATTTTCTGCTTAACGACTATGATAATTTGATTCGTAATTTGATCCACGGTAGTATAGATAATTTAATACATCACGGATGTCACTCACCTACTATTCTTGACGTTGGAGAGGTCAGCGATCGTCCTGTAACAAAAATAGTTATATCCTGTTATAACATTTCAGAGTAAGATCTAGATATTATAAGAGATATAACATATTTTTACATCTCGATCTTCTTTTATAAATAATAAGAAGTACCAACAGGACCAAATAACAAGGCTTTGCTTTTCAAACTCAAGAAAGATTGGTAAATATCGAAGTAGAACTTTTAAGATAATCGAAAACGAGTTTCACGTACTATTACTATTAATTACGCGTGATCTTCTGAATTCTATATTCTATAATTATCATTGATCTATCATATTGATCTAACATATTGATCTATCATAAGAAATTTCCGCGCATTGATGCGATAGATTAGAGTAGCTGACCAAGTATAACTTATTGCATCTAATCTAGCTTCATCACTTAACTTGCAACTAGGTTAGTGGACGCGAGCTCATCATCCGCAGGAAGGCTTGTACTTTCCAACTACGTGGTGTAACTTAATTTACGATACTTCCAGCCCGAAAACCAGTGTGTCAGTAATGAACGGAATTAACAGATGAATGTTGCATGTTCTATGTCCGTTTTGCCAGCTTTCGAGCTTTGAAACGTGTAAATCAAGCGGTACTTTCGTCGTTAACCGAAATTGAATATATCCGTCGAATATATCGAAACAAAACATTGATATAAATGTAACAGATAAAAATTGTTTCCTTGGTTAATTTTGAATTACATTTTAGGATAATATTTTAGTCGATATCTTTAAAGTAATTATTATATACGTTGAAATTACTAATTAATCGATGAAACGCTGTAAAAGATAATAACGTATTTAATTGTCCTCAATTTGGTAAATTGAATCCGAAGTTGGGATTAAAATTAAATTTCATGGTAGATGCAGCTCATGTTTGTTATAGCTGAACTATAATTTGCACCACGAGTGTAACTCGATATTGTAAGGCAGCAGAGTAATTGTTTCAAATTTTCGTGCAGCATGACGCAAAGAATTATCCAATTAAGCGCGATTAAATTGATGTGTATGTGTTATTTTAGTTTTATAGTATATATTCAGAAAGACTATTTGAAACGAAGCAAAAGATATTTTTTAGTTTCTAATCATTAACTTCTTTTTTTTTTTTTAATGAATCAAAGAATTATCTAAATTATTATAAATTTTATTTTCCTTGAATAGAATATCTAGGAACGATATTAATGTGGCTAACCATTCAACTTTCGTTTAAAAGGTTGATTTTAAGCATAATAATCTGTTAATAATGTCCTCTTTACTTCTCACCGTACTGGCTCCTAAAATAATTTTATAGATTACAATCTGGGATTTTATGTTGACCTGTCCCGAGGTTCGTTAACCGTAACGCGTAGTCTCGTTTTAAGGCGTTACTACTACGATGATCGAAGACCGCGTTATTACCGACTCGTACTACTTCACGTCGTCTTCCATCAAAGCAAAGTCGCTTCTACGTAACCTGCACGTAAGTAGGGGAAGATGGACGAGTGTTTCACTTGCATTTTATTAACGTCACAGTTTAGATCGTTTATGACTTCATTCTCCCGCTTCTTTGCTACTTTATATTTTAATATGGTAAAGAGGTCCACCTATTTCTATTAGTTACAAGGTATAATCTTTGATTGGCCATCATTAAAATATAATATATGACATTAAACATCGTTCGCATCGTAAATTATTAATTAAAGATCTTCATTAGCACGATTTATGACAAGATAACAAAAAGATATATTTTTAAAATTAAACTATTTTAATTGCGAAACGACGAGGTACCTTAACTATTTTTTCAAACTCTTTTCAATTATTTTCCGTTAATTTTCAACTGGGCATGTGTCAATTTCCTCGGAGATCGATGAAACCATGATCAAACGAAAGTACTGGATAATTCCTTCGAATATCCCACAGGACGGCGCCATTCCGAACGATTATCCATCGAATTTATCGCGTGCATATCTCGCGCGGGTGACTGCACACGTCGCTGAGGCGGCTGTAATTTATCGTCACTTCGCGTTCGCGAAAAATGCCTTTACTGATTCATCCGCAGACGCATAAAAAGTATGCGGCCATACGTTACGTTGTTGTGTGTTCTGTTCTACGCACACGCAAACGTGCATTATAAAACCTAAAGCTGTCTCACCTACGATATTTTTATTCATTTCTCCTTTTAGTTTTTTTTTTTCTTTTCCCCCTTCTCCTCGACTATGCCAGTTTTTCTTCAAACTGGTCAAAGTCAACGTGACTGCGTGCATGGCACATAACACAAGTTTCGAGAACTCGTAGTATGACGTGATGACGTGACGCGTGAAAGGTCGATGAAAAACCGTTTTAATAGGGCCATTCCTGATGACCAGTCGCTGCAGCGAGTTGTAAGTTCTTTTTTACCAGGGCTAATGATTACGTAATATTTTCCGCGTGGAGGGTGTGTAATTGTGTTTCGCGCGCTCCTGGAGCTGGCCAGTTGCGAAGAATAATGTTGTTTGCGGAAATAGCGAGCTGTGTAGCATGGTTTGAAGAAAGAATGGAGGAGGCTAGCGGCAGATTATAAAGGCGATGAAAAGCTTTCTGCAAAATTGTGCCAATGTAGTCTGTACGTGGAAATTAGACATAAACATCGAACAAACATAGGCTCATAAATTTAACGAAATGGTCAAAATCAACCAGAAATCAATACGTTGATACTTCGTATTATTGTTACAACTTTTGATTTACGAAACGTTCATTATGAATTATTTATAAAGCTCTGTTTAGACCATATATTTTTCTTATTTTTTCACGTAGAATATTTTAGCATCGTTTTACCGAAGAAACGAGTGATCGACGTATTATAATATTCCAGCAGTCAGTTTTTTGTGAACTCGATCCATCGTGCCGTAGCATTATCCATTTTTCATTTATAAAACATATACGAAGCACAAAAATAAATACACGGCATAACGATAACAGAATCTCCTAGCGGACACATTGAGAAAATTTTGCGCAGGATTCGCGTGAACGAATATATCCTTTGACATGAAGGAATACAATAATAAAAAGAATCAATCGATAAATCAATATCTAGAACAGCAAAGAGCTGGCGTTTTATAAAATCAAATACTTGTTCGTTATAAAACGTAGTACAGGTCGATATTATTGCGCGACTGTCCGGCTCTTGTGGAGTAATCGTTTCTTCGAATCTTGTCAGCGTGATAACGTATTGCTCTTCGCGCAAGTATCCTTAGGCTCAAGAAAAGGTCGAGAGTGGAATGAGAGTTGGAAGGCCGGAAGTCATGGCAAGATAACGGTCTACCGTAAGTCTGGACAATGTGTTCCGTAGACGGACGCCTTTGTCGTAGATTAGCACGATTCCTTGACTTCGTCGACGGAGTCCTTGAAACTCGACGAGAGATACGGGACGGGATATTGTTTTCTCGCTATCTAAACGTAACTCTGGCTAACTCGTCGGAAGAATGAGAGGAACGGGATTCTGGAGATCGGTCGATCGTTTCCAGACGTCAACTCGACCAGATGGTTCACCTTCTGTACTCATGGGAAATTCGATTTGGAGGATAAAAAGAAAATTCGATTCTTGTAGACATTTTGTTCCCCGCTATCCATTTAATTCAATTTAAATCAAAATCAAGTAAAACATAAACCAAGCCGAGAAAATACACTTATTCCTCTGTAATCTAAAAGATTCGTTCGCGAATAAATCGATCTCGTGATTCCTCTCTTCGAGTCTTTTGAAAAATCACGGACCGAAAATTGCGCTATATCAAGAGAAATTATATCAGTCCTACACGTAAAAATAACATTTCGAGGACATGGAATTGAAGTGAACCCCGGTTGAAAGGAGGACAGAAAAAATGAAAAGGCAAAAATAGCGGAGCAGAAAAAGCTCGACAAGCAACGATCGATTATTACGGTCGTCTGGCGGTAATCGTTTTTTTAAATCCCGATTCCGTCTGCGTATTTGCGAAATACGTAATCATCGTTGAAACGTGCTTTAAAATAAATAGCAATTCCCTCCTTTTCCCGCATTACCTTACAGAGAGGGGGGAGGGGGCAGAGATACTTGACGGTATCGTTGAACGTAGTACGCAAAGTAAGACTTTTCCACGGCACTTCAGACTTCTCCGGTGCACCAAGTATAAAGCTATTTACGTATCCCATTTCCCGCAAAGGGTGATCTTTCTTTTTCGTTCATTTTTTCTTCTCCTCCCTCCGCAGCCTGATCTTTCTCCCTTTTTGTCGTAAATATATAACGGGGTGGTCGCTTTCAGGATAATACGAAAGACTCTTAAAAAATTCGCAATGCTCAGTCACAATAAAGTGGTTGGCTACAGGCACCGCCGAGTCTCGCGGTAATGAAATTAACGAGAACGTTGCGCATACTAGATTATGTTCCATCATATGTCTTTGCAACTTGCGAAGTAGTATAAGATCGTTTATAGTCAGAGACACGTAAATTAACTACTTAACTGTACGCGATAGGCAAATATATTCTACGTACCATTGTAATACAGTTAATGTGTATCATTAGTTGTAAAACAGCGGTATGTTAGTATAATAAAGAAACACAATCGCTTGAAAGTATAATAACTTAATCTGACTGTGAAAAACCGATACCGAAGGAAGGCTAAATATAGTATCAGCTGAACAGACGTAAGAGAAAAAGAAAAATGCACGCAAACACTTTTTCTATATGAACTTTATGGAACAGAGAGTTTCGAGCTATTTAATCGGTTATATAAACCCTACAAAAATAGGTTTTACCAATGTTCCAGTTAAATGAAAAGTTCTTCTCGAGAATTTGCTGCAAAAATAAACGGAACTATATTCGAGTATTTCCACGAATACGTTATGTTTGCGAACGTACACATTTAACGTGGAAGGTTTAAGCAATTGAAATGCGATTGGATTACATGGAATTACGATACCAGAGGGTGAAATATTTTATTATTATTAAATTATTTCTGATCAAAAATAGGTCGTTCTCAGAATTTAAAATCGAGAAATGTTCATAATCTATTAATAA